CTAATGAGTGATACCTGACCAGACTCATACTCGGCCTCCTGGGGTGTGACTCACTCATACCAGCCTCCTGGGGTGTGACTCTCACCATACTCAGCCTCCTGGTGTGAGCCTCCTGGGTGTGACTCACTCATACTCACTCACTCAGACTCTCAGCCACCTGGGGTGACTCACTCATAATCAGCCACCCTCCAGCCTCCTGGTGTGGACTCACTCATACTCAGCCTCCTGGGGTGTGACTCACTCATACTCAGCCTCCTGGGGTGTGACTCACTCATACTCAGCCTCCTGGGGTGTGACTCAAGCAAACTCAGCCTCCTGGGGCGTGACTTAAGCAAACACAGCCTCCTGGGGTGTGACTCACTCATACTCAACCTCTTGGGGTGTGACTCACTCAACCTCCTGGGATGTGACTCACTCATACTCAACCTCCTGAGGTGTGACTCACTCAAACCTAACCTCCTAGGGTGTGACTCACCAGAGTGTGAGACAACTCTGCTTCATGAGTGTCAGAGTATGAAACAACTTTAACTCAAGGCTGTTGGATCAAAAACCAACAGGTGTTCAAAGTTGTCATAAATAAAGATTTGGTTCAAGGATCGCGGGGCGTGAATTAGCACCTATAAAACCTGTATATGTCAGGGTTGGGCTGCCAAACGTAGAGTGAGGCATCAAGAAAATCAAGATTGCAATAAACTGCTGTACACACACACACACACACACACACACAAGATGCCCACACACACACACACACACACACACACACACAAGATGCCCTGAAACAACGAATGATCACCATTGGCACAGTGCCTTGTTCTGGGTACGTAATGTTGTCAGAAAAGTGCAATAAGATTAAGTACAAAATGTGTGGCGGGAAACACAACACCAGTATGATCTCTGCACAGCCACAACAGAGCCTCATAACGAACTTATATTCTTTATCAATATATGTAGTTTTTGTCTGTACCTTTGATAGTTTAGGCATAATTAGTGTTTAAAATGGTAAGGTCGTTTGTGAACACCGGGTATGCAGTACTCGAGACATCACCTTTACGTGCTATAAAGGTTAAAGTATAAGCCGAGATGTTAATATCAGACTCTTCTGTCGACTCCACAAATTGGTTCCATACAATATAGTACTGTTGTGGGTGACATGTGGGGGTACTGAGAGAGTTGTTTGTGTGACTCATCAGCCACGTTATTAAGGCATCTTGGATCTACAGAAGACTACGAAAAAATACATTTAACTTTTTCATCTAAAATATATAAAATATTCCGGGTATTTTAATATATCTCATAAGACCTTGACTATGATACTAAACAGAATAAATAGTTACGTTTTATTTATCGTGAACCATAGAGTAATAACACAGGTCTTGGTGCTCACTTGTGACACATTAAACCCAAGGACGACTCACACTCGATGGACGACAGTGAATATGAATATAATAATAAGAACTAGAAGTCTTGACGATTTAATAAACAAAGAATTCAGTAGACAGTTGTGGGGAAGGAGGAAGGGCTGTGTGGGAGGAGGAGGGAGTGTGGGGGAGGAGGAGGGGGTGGAGGAGGAAGAGGGGGTGGGAGGAGAGGGGGGTGGGGGAGGAGGAGGAGGGGGTGTGTGTTTCTATTGTCAAGAGTAAAGCTGTTTGTGACTATGTTTTGTTTGCCTCTGTATGTGATTAATGAGACTGTTAATTCCAGGTCACCAAACAGTAACATGAAACAAGACGATAATGGTATAAGGTAAAACTTCTTCCAAATACAGTGATATAACACAGTACTGCGGCTATGTTATCACTCTATTGAGAAACTGAAGGACACGTGTTGAATCATCGTAATGTCCGTGTCACTCTTAATGTATGCAAAGGGGACACGGCCATTCAGATCACAGGATGACGGTACTCTCTCTCTCTCTCTCTCTCTCTCTCTCTCTCTCTCTCTCTCTCTCTCTCTCTCACTCTCTCTCTCTATGTATGTGTGAGAATATACTTGTGCAAAGGTACGATATCATTATTGTTTACGTATGTATGGTTGCACTGTGTGTGTGTGTGTACCCAAACAATATATATCTCCTCCAAAAGGACTTCCTCGAAAAACAAGCTTTGAGATATTTCAGGAAGGTTATCATAAAATATCATCTGCACCATCACACACAGTCCCTAGCTCTCACACAGCCCCTAGCCCTCACACAGTCCCTAGCTCTCACACAGCCCCTAGCCTTCACACAACCCCTAGCTCTCACACAGTCCCTTGCCCTCACACAGTAGCCCCTAGCCCTCCACACCCTAGCCCTCACACAGCCCCCTCACACAGTCCCTAGCCTTCACACAGTTCCTAGCCACAGCCCCTAGCCCCTCAGCGGCCCTAGCCCTTCACACAGTCCCTAGCCTCGTCCCTCTCTCACACAGCCCCTAGCCTCACATGCCCTTCACACAGCTCTTCACACAGCACACCCCTTTAGACACAGTCCTTCTCCAGCCCCTCCTCCAAGCCTTCACACAACCCCTAGCCACATAGCCTCACACAGCCCAGCCCTCCCATAGCTCTACCTCCTCACACAGCCCCTTCACTAGCCTCTTACTAGCCTCCTCCTCCTCCCTCCCCCTCGCCCCTACACTCCCCTCCACACAGCTAGCCCTCTCCACATCCTGCCAGCTCCCACAGTCGACTCTCACATCCTCTACCTCCCTCCGTCTCACCCTCCTGCTTCCCTCACACTCCTCCTCCCTCCTACTACCCCACCCCCCTCTCTTATTGTCTGTTTCCTGTTTGTGCATCTCTCTCTCTCTCTCTCTCAGTAATGCCCCCTCTTAATCTTTGTTCGCGTCATTAGAGAGAGAGAGACGAGCCCTTCCTTCCTTCACACCAGTAAACAACTTGGTCGCCTCTTCCCCGCCTCACACCTGGCTAGTGACACGCGCTCTCTCCGTCTGCCACAAGTTCGATGGTATTTTTGAGGTTTTAAAAGGAGTTCTTCCTTCTTCACTCGACGCTTTCCTTCCCTCCCTACTGCTGCCACCATCACTACTACCAATACCCCTGCCACCACTACCACCCTCGTCACCGTTACCCCCACTATCACCACAACTACCACCACTACTACTGCCACCTTTTAAATTACCATCTTATCTGCCACCATTACTACTACTACCACTAACACCGTCATCACCACTACCACCATTACTACCACTACCACCACCAACACCCACACCACCACCACAATTAACACCAACACCCTCACCACCAACACCCTCACCACCACTACCACCACGACCACCACCCTCGTCACTACCACCACCACTAGCACCCTCACTACCAACATCTGGGCTGGGGATTTACAAAGGAATTTCTTTACTTTCTCAGCAAAAAACAAACACACTATCTGCTCTACGTCACAAAATCTTTGCTTTATACATTTATAAAAAGTTCGTTGTATAATAAGTGAAGAAAAGGTTCATCGTGTGAGAATCTTTAGAACACTCCTGCCACGAGCCCTTGTTTCGGGTGCTGTATTCATAATCAATGTACCTTATAGGCTACACTTTGTTGTTATCATAAGCTGGAGTAATGAGGGTAAGATTCTCTCTCTCTCTCTATCTGTCCTCTGAAGACATTATGTAAAGTATCTCAAAAAAGTATCTGTCCACACACTGTATGAAACATTATGAGGCCACGGGTGATACATATTGGTACATGTATTCACTTTGAAATATAGTTTAACATAAGTAATGCATTGTTTAGTTATCAAATGTAGTAGGATCAGTACGCCATAGAGCCAGGCATACCAACCCTCCCGGGACATCACGAGTTGCAGATACATCTTGGAGATACTGTACCTTCATTGGGTGTACGTACAATATTGTTTGTATCCCTGCACTGTCTCTGTGCATTCTTTGTATACTTACATTATGTACATTGATTATTTATTTGCACTGTGTAATGTATATCTTTATTATTATTATATACTTTTTTATTATTATTATTATTATCACATAAAACACCAAAAGTTTAAAAAAAAATTAAAAAATCTGCTTCCTCAAGTTTAAAAGACTCAGAGTAGCCGCCCCTCGAGCACTGTTCCGGGGGTATGGTGAGGAGGATAAGAAACATCTGGAGTGAGACACATTGATTGACTGTTCCATAACAATGAACCGGAACTGTGTAGCCACCTCGCCAGACTCGGAGAAAGAGAGAGAGAGAGAGAGAGAGAGAGAGAGAGAGAGAGAGAGAGAGAGAGAGAGCCGGGACTATAACGTCGAGGACGATCTCTTTTTTCACTCAGAGGCTGGTGAGAGCAGCGGCTGTCGATGGAAGAGTGAAGGGCAAGAGCAATAGTGACTAACCCGACGCGCGCTTTATCACGTAGGCCCCTTACACACGCATACACACACACACACACACACACACACACACACACACGCACACATACAATTATAACTCGATGTGTGTGTGTGTGTGTGTGTGTGTGTGTGTGTGTGTGTGTGTGTGTGTGTGTATGTGTATGTGTACCCTCGCTGTCATCTATAAAACCAGAGACGAAAAGATTATAGCTAAAAGTAAGTCAATAATTCATAACGAGACTGTAACGAGAATAACTGTAACGAGAACAAATATAGCTAACGAGGAGTCTGAGTTTTGGTTCTGTTTCAAGTTACCTTCACGGTACAGTATTTCTTAAACGACATTAAATATGGAAAATATATTGTGGCATTCTGACGCAGGGAACAAACACGACATTCTTTAGTGTAACGGTATGGTGAAGTTTATAGGCTGCTGCTTCTCGTGAAACTCTCTATAAACCTAGGAGCTTGGCGGATAAATCAATACTAATGCACATACCATTCAGTGTGGAGTTTAGCATAATGACGCGTGTATCTAAGAAATTGAGTGAATGTCTTTATAATTTGTAATTGTAACGCACAACTTTCAATTGCAGTGTGGTTTTAGTACAAACAGGTGTCATCATCACACCTGGGCAACACTTATATCGAGTGTCTTACCTGCATCATCTGATGAGTGTCCCACAGGTGTGTTGGGTGGTGTTGTGTGTACATCACCACAGCCACCAACATCAGAGCCGCGTTGCACAAAAAGTAGAGCGGGAAGAGCACCTGTTGCACCTGCGCGAACACGTGTCGGGGGACGGAGAGGAAGAGAGCAAGACCTGGGTGGGGAAGATGAGGAACACAGGTGAATCTGGATGTTGTGGCGGTGTATGCAGGTGCTACCATATCCTGCAGGGATCTTTGAGCACCTTCCACTGCATTTTAATAAGTATACTTGACAACAACTTCTAAAACTTATGAAAACATTTTTTGGGGAGGGGTAAATGAGGAAGAGATGGAACAGATAGTGTATTAATCAATCGTATTGCACTTGAGTTTCCTTAAGTTTTGTTTAAGAAGGATTTTCCTCTTTGTAAGGTACAGTATTTATATATAACCAAAGCAAGTCGAAATAGTGATATAAATTTAAATCCATATCAGCTGGTCACAAACTTGAATGCAGTGAATCCGACATCAGCCAACAACACGACCACCTTCCTCTGACCAACTCGACTCACCTGACACAAAAGTCATCCACATCTGACTGCCGAAGACGGTACTGACGGCGGCGATATAGAAGAGCCTAGTTAGTGTGGAGGCCTCAGTAGCATGCCTGCGGGAATCGGGGAACAGCCTGAAGCCGAGATACACCACCGCCACTATTGTGATGAAATGTGCAGGCTGCGTGTGCTCCAACAAAGCTCTGGTGGTCCACACACAAAAGAAATGAGATGTTTCAAGAACTAGTCCTCAAGATTCTAGTTATTATTTCATCACAACATTGTTATTACTGTCTGGCTCAGTGAAGTGGCCGCTCGACATAAGGTCACTTGAAGGTCTGGTCAATTGCAAAAAAACCACAACATATTGCACAACTGTTGCTGACCTTGTGTTTTAGTTACAAGAATTAAAACAAAAAAAGGTTTCATTGTAAATCTATTTAAGAATATTTTTTGTTTTGTTTTTAATACACAAATGACTAAACTTAATTTTAGTTTACTGAAGATTAAATACCGATTATACATATTATAATAATCATTTGAGACATAGAATAACATTAAAGATTAGTTAAATAAATCCCGATGTAATTTTGTCTATAATTCATTAATAAACAATAATAGTCATAAAAATATCACAAAACAACGAATAAGATTCATAAATGTTAAAATACTTTTGGCTGTGTTTAGTGGTGTTAAAACATTACAGTGTTAAGAATAAACTCTCTCTCTCTCTCTCTCTCTCTCTCTCTCTCTTTGTATTATTGCTCCGTGTACTGAATTGACTAAACTCAGGACCTGGGTAATACGTAATAAACTGACCTTAAACCTCGAAAAAAAAAACAGTAGACAACACAATAACACACTTCTACAAGACAGTAACACACCTCTACAAGACAGTAACACACCTCTACAACACACACCTCTACAACACACACCTCTACAACACACACCTCTACAACACACACCTCTACAACACACACCTCTACAACAAAACACATCACCTTATAAGAGTTAATAACACTGGTGGAGGTAAATACAGGTTATGTAAATTATTATATTTACTAGTAGCATTAACCTGGCTACTTAATTCAGGTTTTATTTCCTATTAAGTTTAATAATACGTACCAGGAAGTCTTACTGGTCAGTGATGCCAAGGCAGAGGCCTATTATTTTATTATGCTTAATACTCTGTTATACTTCCTTTGTTTTTCTAAGGAGAATTTGTTTTTAAAGCTTTACTTTTTGCTGTGAAGAAGTACCGCTAACACTGCCGCCTTGTATACTGTATGGGAGGGCGTTGTGCTCACAGTGCCGCCTTGTATACTGTATGGGAGGGTGTTGTGCTCACAGTGCCGCCTTGTATACTGTATGGGAGGGTGTTGTGCTCACAGTGCCGCCTTGTATACTGTATGGGAGGGTGTTGTGCTCACAGTGCCGCCTTGTATACTGTATGGGAGGGCGTTGTGCTCACAGTGCCGCCTTGTATACTGTATGGGAGGGTGTTGTGCTCACACTGCCGCCTTGTATACTGTATGGGAGGGTGTTGTGCTCACAACTGCCCTTGTATACTGTATGGGAGTACACACTGCCGCCTTTGCAGTTGTGCTCACACTGCCGCCTTGTATACTGTGGGAGGGTGTTGTGCTCACACTGCCGCCTTGTATACTGTATGGGAGGGCGTTGTGTGCCGCCTTGTATACTGTACTGCCGCCTTGTATATTGTATGGGAGGGTGTTGTGCTCACACTGCCGCCTTTGTATACTGTAAGGGAGGGTGTTGTGCTCACACTGCCGCCTTGTATATGGCGTTGTGCCACACTGCCCTTGTATACTGTATGGGAGGGTTGTGCTCACACTGCCGCCTTGTATGTATGGGAGGGCGTTGTCACACTGCCGGCTTGTATACTGTATGGGAGGGTGTTGTGGCCACTGTATGTGCTCACACTGCCGCCTTGTATACTGTATGGGAGGGTGTTGTGCTCACACTGCATTATTTGTTCCGGTGGTGTGGTTGAGGGCAGTATTTGGTGAACCATCAGCATCATCTGTACCTCAACTGCCCTAGTTACTCGCTAATACGACGTGTGTGTGTGTGTGTGTGTGTGTGTGTGTGTGTGTGTGGTGTGTGTGTGTGTGTGTGTGTGTGTGTGTGTGTGTGTGGTGTGTGTGTGTGTGTGTGTGTGTGTATGTGGTGTGTGTGTGTGTGTGTGTGTGTGGTGTGTGTGTGTGTGTGTGTGTGTGTGTGTGTGTGTGTGTGTGTGTGTGTGTGTGTGGGTGTGTGTGTCTGTGTGGTGTGTGTGTATGTGGTGTGTGTGTGTGTGTGTGTGTGTGTGTGTGTGTGTGTATGTGTTTAGTACGATGAGGTGGAAGAAACTTGACATACCCAACAATGATTTAAATAGTTATCATCCACTAATGAAACTGTGTGAGTGTCTAGGCTAGAGTCTCAGACGCCATATTTATGTGTAAGTCATGACTGCTACACACGTTACGTCAGACAAAAGAAGCGCTTACCTGTACCAAGGAGCATTGTCCTTCTCGTGTGCCTGGAAGTGTTTGTACTTCTTGCCGTATTCCTTGATCTGCGCCTTGGTCACCTTGGTAGGCTCCCTCTTCCGTGAGTCCACCAGTTTCTCCAGCTCTTGGTTGGTGAGGGCGTTGGTGGAGGAGGAGAACATGCTGAACCCGGCGAAGGATCTGGATTTATGCATCTCTGAGGGGCGGAACTCGGAAATCGAGTGGAAGCGAGAGCGGTACACGTTGGTCTTGTCGGGGCTCTCCGTCAGTGTGGTGCTTACCTCTGCCACGGTCATGGCAGCCACGTTACTTACACTTGACACGCACATTAAATCTGGGCTACTCCTCGGGTCAGCTGCCCAAGATCACTTAACAAAATGTGTAACTGGACAGTATATATTCTTGAGGTGAATTAGACAATAACTCCTCCTTATGTATTGCACTGATTAAGTACAAAACAAATTCCGCTGGTCGAGGTTAATTAAAGTTGAGGTCAAGTTGTGTCTTCAGATATTCACCAGAGAGGCGCTGTTCGTGGTATGACTGACGAAGCGTCCGCCCGCTTCTTTATACTGTCACTCAGGAGGTTGCCAGTGAGGCACTATGAAATATCTCGCGTAAATATTGATCTCAACTGTGTTTCTCGATACACTGTGGGGTGTTTTAGTCACTGTTAAGTAATGATAAATAACAAAAGATAATCGATAGATTTGATACAGTTTTTTTCTTATATATTAATGTAAATATAAAAATAAAGGTTATCTGTGGTAAAAATGGCAAGACCTTGTAAAGTGCTGATTGCTTGATGGTGAAAAACTTAGATTATGAGGTTAAAATCTTACACAAGTATAACATTGTAAGCCAGATAGCTCACTAGAGGAGAGTTGCAGGGAGGTGACACTATTGGCCGACACACTCACCGACACACTCACTAGTGGCCGACACACTCACCGACACACTCACTAGTGGCCGACACACTCACCGACACACTCACTAGTGGCCGACACACTCACCAGTGGAACACACACACGACACACACCGACTAGTGGCCGACACACACACACCGACACACTCACTAGTGGCCGACACACACACCGACACACTCACTAGTGGCCGACACACTCACCGACACACTCACTAGTGGCCGACACACACACCGACACACTCCAGTGGCCGACACACACACCGACACACTCACTGATGGCCGACACACACCGACACACTCACTAGTGGCCGACACACACCGACACACTCACTAGTGGCCGACACACACACCGACACACACTCACTAGTGGCCGACACACACACCGACACACACTAGTGGCCGACACACTCACCGACACACTCACTAGTGGCCGACACACACACCGACACACTCACTAGTGGCCACACATACACCGACACACTCACTAGTGGCCGACACACACACCGACACACTCACTAGTGGCCGACACATACACCGACACACTCACTAGTGGCCGACACACACACCGACACACCACCACGACACACACCGACACACTCACTGGCCGACACACACACCGACACACTCACTAGTGGCCGACACACACACCGACACACTCACTACCGACACACACACCGACACACTCACTAGTGGCCGACACACACCGACACACTCACAGTGGCCGACACACACACCGACACACCTCACTAGTGGCCGACACACACACCGACACACTCACTAGTGGCCGACACACTCACCGACACACTCACCAGTGGCCGACACACTCACCGACACACTCACAGTGGCCGACACGACACACTCACTAGTGGCCGACACATACACCGACACACTCACTAGTGGCCGACACACACCGACACACTCACTAGTGGCCGACACACACCGACACACCTACTAGTGGCCGCGACACACACCGACACACTCACTAGTGGCCGACACACACACCGACACACTCACTAGTGGCCGACACACACACCGCTTGGCACGACACACACACCGACACACACTAGTGGCCACAACCGACACACTCACTAGTAGTACACACACACCGACACACTCACTAGTGGCCGACACACACACCGACACACTCACTTACACTGGCCGACACACACCGACACACTCACTAGTGGCCGACACACACACCGACACACTCACTAGTGGCCGACACACACACCGACACACTCACTAGTGGCCGACACACACCGACACACTCACTAGTGGCCGACACACACACCGACACACTCACTAGTGGCCGACACACTCACCGCCACGCTCACTAGTGGCCGACACACTCACTTTTAAGGTGACACTATAGAAACGGTTGTAAGGAATATTTAAGATAATAATCGTACATCGACCAGTGAGTGTGTGTGAGTGTGTGTGTGTGTGTGTGTGTGTGTGTGAGTGTGTGTGTGTGTACCTTCTGTATGTCACGTATACGCTCTCGCTCTCTTTCGCACGCTCTCAATCACTCTCTCTCCTTCACAGTATTCGCGAAGCGTCGAGAAGCTCTGGGAAACACCGCCTTGCGTAACACTCTTAATGACGTCAGAAACAACAACGCAGATGAGTTTGTATTCTCCCCACCACTGTTCCCGCTTCTGCTGCCCCCTCTGCCCACGCTCTACTGTGATCCATCAGTCATGTCGGGCAGAGGAGAAAAAACCAAGTCCTTATTTGTATCTGTGTATGTGTGTGTGGGTACTCTGGCTGGTGTTGTCTGGCAGGCATGTTGCTCTCTTCTCGTCTCTGGTTATACGTAGCTGAGACTCCTTTGAGGCAACACAAGGCCCTCACACGCTCCCTCCCTCCATCACACATTATCCATTCCTCCCTCCCTCCCTCCCTCTTCACTAACCCTCCCTCCACGACTCACCCTCCGACCCTCCACAGCTCACCTTCCCTCCCTTCACCATTCACCCTCCCTCCCTCCCTCCCTCTCTCCCTCTTTCCCTCCTTCCCTCTTCACTAACCCTCCCTCCACGACTCACCCTCCGACCCTCCACCACTCACCTCCCTTCCTCCATCACTCACCCTCCACCACCACTCACCTTCTCTCCCTCTACCACCACTCACCTTCTCTCCCTCTACCACCACTCACCTTCTCTCCCTCTACCACCACTCACCTTCTCTCCCTCTACCACTTCCTCCCTCTACCACGACTCGCCTCCATCCACCACTTCCTCCCTCCTCCCTCCCTCCCCCCTCCCTCCACCACTCACCTACCCTCTTATCAGGCACTTTATCAATCGAATTTATTGACCCCGAAAGAAATAGTGCAATAATTATTTTCTACACCGTATACACAGACAGACAGACCGAAGGAACTTGTGCATTTATTTTTGTTTTCCTGTTTCTTATTAAACACGAGACATAATTCTAGAAACTGCTCTGTGACTCAGGGAGTTGATGGAAGACTGTGTAGCAATACTTAAACTCTGTGTTCGGTTTATGTACTGTGTAACACATTGTTCCACTATGTACTGTGTAACACATTGTTCCACTATGTACTGTGTAACACACATTGTTCCACTATATGTACTGTGTAACACATATTGTTCCACTATATGTACTGTGTAACACACATTGTTCCACTATATGTACTGTGTAACACATATTGTTCCACTATATGTACTGTGTAACACATATTGTTCCACTATATGTACTGTGTAACACATTGTTCCACTATGTACTGTGTAACACATATTGTTCCACTATATGTACTGTGTAACACATTGTTCCACTATGTATGTGTAACACATTTGTTCCACTATATGTACTGTGTAACATATTGTTCCACTATATGTACTGTGTAACACATTGTTCCACTATATGTACTGTGTAACACATATTGTTCCACTATATGTACTGTGTAACACATTGTTCCACTATGTACTGTGTAACACATATTGTTCCACTATATGTACTGTGTAACACATTGTTCCACTATATGTACTGTGTAACACACATTGTTCCACTATATGTACTGGGTAACACATATTGTTCCACTATATGTACTGTGTAACACATTGTTCCACTATATGTACTGTGTAACACATATTGTTCCACTATATGTACTGTGTAACACATTGTTCCACTATATGTACTGTGTAACACATTGTTCCACTATACAGTATAAACTTTGCTTTATAATCCTCCGTAAATCACATTACACTCGCTTACCACTATCCCAATAACCACTACCCCGATAACCATTGCCCCGATAACCACTGCCCACATAGCCACTACCCCGATAACCATTGCCCCGATAACCACTGCCCAAATAGCCACTACCCCGACAACCACTGCCCCCGATAACCACTGCCCAATGCCACTACCCGATAACCACTACCCCGATAACCTGCCCAAATAGCCACTACCCCTATAGCCATTTGCCCCGATAACCAATGCCCCCGATAACCACTGCCCCGATAACCACTACCGATAACCACTATCGAAACGCTACAGCCTAATAACCACTACCCCGACAACCACTGCCCCGATAACCACTACCCCGATAACCACTACCCCGATAACCACTACCCCGATAACCACTACCCCGATAACCACGACCCCGATAACCACTACCCCGATAACCACTCTAATTCTACAGTTCTTCACATATTCCTTTTCATCACTATTTATGGAGGTAATGCAATAAAAGTTAAAGCTTAAATAATTAAGTTACATAAATAATAATTAATATATAAATAAATAAATAAATGAATAAATATCACAAGCAAAATTCAAGTCACTTAAGGATGAAAGCTTCATAAACTACAATAATTCAATGCCTATATCAGACCCAAGCTGTCCGCCTCCTACCAGAACCCAAGCTGTCCGCCTCCTACCAGAACCCAAGCTGTCCGCCTCCTACCAGACCCAAGCTGTCCGCCTCCTACCAGACCCAAGCTGTCCGCCTCCTACCAGACCCAAGCTGTCCGCCTCCTACCAGACCCAAGTTGTCCCTTGCCTCTACCAGACCAAGCTGTCACCCCTACCAGACCCAAGCTGTCCACTTGCTCCTACGGGCCCAAGCTGTCCACTTGCTCCTACAGACCCAAGCTGTCCGCCTTGCTCCTACCAGACCCAAGCTGTCACTTACTCCTACAGACCCAAGTTGTCCGCCTCCTACCAGAACCCAAGCTGTGCGCCTCCTACCAGACCCAAGCTGTCCGCCTCTGGGGCCAGCTGTCCACTTACTCCTACCAGACCCAAGCTGTCCACCTCCTACCAGACCCAAGCTGTCCGCCTCCTAGACCCAAACTGTCCGCCTCCCTACCAGACCCAAGCTGTCCACCTCCCTACAGACCCAAGCTGTCCACTTGCTCTCAGACCCAAGCTGTCCGCCTCCTACCAGACCCAAGCTGTCCGCCTCCTACCAGACCCAAGCTGTCCGCCTCCTACCAGACCCAAGCTGTCCGCCTCCTACCAGACCCAAGCTGTCCGCCTCCTACCAGACCCAAGCTGTCCGCCTCCTACCAGACCCAAGCTGCTCTCAGATTCCTAGTATATGAGGACACTCCACCTCTCCCACCTGCACTGTGTCTTAATCAGCTGGGGCTCTGATGACGTTCTTGCCTATGTTGAAGAAACCCAACCCTCAAACCGTCACGTTAAGGATGAAGATTTCATTAAAGTTTCTCAATTGAAGTTACATCAGCAAGATTTTCATTACCTAACCTAACCTAACCTCATCAAACTTAACCTAACCTCATCAAACTTAACCTAACCTAACCAAAGACTAATAATGATGACGCCACATAAGCTCCTGAGTCTAGTTTGTCGTGCACCTTATCATCATGTACCAACCATTGTAGAACCTTTTTGAGTTTAGGTGGAAACGATGTTATATATATGTATAAAATGAATCGATCTGTCTGTCAGTCCGTCCTTCAGTCCGTCAATCTCTCTTTTGTTTCTCTGTCATCTAGTGTCTCAGTCATCTAGTGTCTCAGTCATCTAGTGTCTCTCTGTCATCTAGTGTCTCAGTCATCTAGTGTCTCTCTGTCATCTAGTGTCTCTGTCATCTAGTGTCTCTGTCATCTAGTGTCTCTCTGTCATCTAGTGTCTCTGTCATCTAGTGTCTCAGTCATCTAGTGTCTCAGTCATCTAGTGTCTCTCTGTCATCTAGTGTCTCTGTCATCTAGTGTCTCTCTGTCATCTAGTGTCTCTCTGTCATCTAGTGTCTCTGTCATCTAGTGTATCTCAGTCATCTAGTGTATCTCTGTCATCTAATTGTCTCAGTCATCTAGTGTCTCTCTGTCATCTAGTGTCTCTCTGGCTCATCTAGTGTCTCTCTGTCATCTAGTGCCCTGTCATCTAGTGTATCTCAGTCATCTGTGTCTCTGTCATCTAGTGTCTCTGGCATCTAGTGTCTCTCTGTCATCCTAGTGTCTCTCAGTCATCCTAGTGTCTCTCTGTCATCTAGTGTATCTCTGTCATCTAGTGTCTCTCTGTCATCTAGTGTCTCTCTGTCATCTAGTGTCTCTCTGTCATCTAGTGTCTCTGTCATCTAGTGTCTCAGTCATCTAGTGTCTCTCTGTCATCTAGTGTCTCTCTGTCATCTAGTGTCTCTCTGTTATCTAGTGTATCTCTGTCATCTAGTGTATCTCTGTCATCTAGTGTATCTCAGTCATCTAGTGTATCTCTGTTATCTAGTGTATCTCTGTTATCTAGTGTATCTCAGTCATCTAGTGTATCTCTGTTATCTAGTGTATCTCTGTTATCTAGTGTATCTCAGTTATCTAGTGTATCTCAGTCATCTAGTGTATCTCAGTCATCTAGTGTATCTCAGTCATCTAGTGTATCTCTGTCATCTAGTGTATCTCTGTTATCTAGTGTATCTCTGTCATCTAGTGTATCTCTGTTATCTAGTGTATCTCTATCATATAGTGTGTCTCTGTCATCTAGTGTATCTCTGTCATCTAGTGTATCTCAGTTATCTAGTGTATCTCAGTCATCTAGTGTATCTCAGTCATCTAGTGTATCTCAGTCATCTAATGTATCTCAGTCATCTAGTGTATCTCTGTTATCTAGTGTATCTCTGTTATCTAGTGTATCTCTGTCATCTAGTGTATCTCTGTCATCTAGTGTATCTCTGTTATCTAGTGTATCTCAGTCATCTAGTGTGTCTCTGTCATCTAGTGTATCTCAGTCATCTAGTGTATCTCAGTCATCTAGTGTATCTCAGTCATCTAGTGTATCTCTGTCATCTAGTGTATCTCTGTCATCTAGTGTATCTCAGTCATCTAGTGTGTCTCTGTCATCTAGTGTATCTCAGTCATCTAGTGTATCTCAGTCATCTAGTGTATCTCAGTCATCTAGTGTATCTCAGTCATCTAGTGTATCTCTATCATATAGTGTGTCTCTGTCATCTAGTGTATCTCTGTCATCTAGTGTATCTCAGTTATCTAGTGTATCTCAGTCATCTAGTGTATCTCAGTCATCTAGTGTATCTCTGTCATTTAGTGTATCTCTGTCATCTAGTGTATCTCAGTCATCTAGTGTATCTCAGTCATCTAGTGTATCTCTGTTATCTAGTGTATCTCAGTCCAGTGGTATCTCAGTTATCTAGTGTATCTCAGTCATCTAGTGTATCTCAGTCATCTAGTGTATCTCTGTCATTTAGTGTATCTCTGTCATCTAGTGTATCTCAGTCATCTAGTGTGTCTCTGTTATCTAGTGTATCTCTGTCATCTAGTGTATCTCAGTCATCTAGTGTGTCTCTGTTATCTAGTGTATCTCTGTTATCTAGTGTATCTCTGTCATCTAGTGTATCTCAGTGATCTAGTGTATCTCAGTCATCTAGTGTATCTCTGTCATCTAGTGTATCTCTGTTATCTAGTGTATCTCAGTCATCTAGTGTGTCTCTGTCATCTAGTGTATCTCTGTCATCTAGTGTGTCTCTGTCATCTAGTGTGTCTCTGTCATCTAGTGTATCTCTGTCATCTAGTGTGTCTCTGTTATCTAGTGTATCTCTGTTATCTAGTGTATCCCCGTCATCCAGCGTATCCCCGTTATCCAGTGCATCTCTGGTCATCCAGTGTACTTCCCTCGTCATCTAGTGTATCTCTGTTATCTAGTGTATCTCAGTCATCTAGTGTGTCTCTGTCATCTAGTGTATCTCTGTCATCTAGTGTATCTCTGTCATCTAGTGTATCTCTGTTATCTAGTGTATCTCAGTCATCTAGTGTGTCTCTGTCATCTAGTGTATCTCTGTCATCTAGTGTGTCTCTGTTATCTAGTGTATCTCTGTTATCTAGTGTATCTCTGTCATCTAGTGTATCTCTGTTATCTAGTGTATCTCTGTTATCTAGTGTGTCTCTGTTATCTAGTGTATCTCTGTCATCTAGTGTATCTCTGTTATCTAGTGTGTCTCTGTTATCTAGTGTATCTCTGTCATCTAGTGTATCTCAGTCATCTAGTGTATCTCTGTCATCTAGTGTATCTCTGTTATCTAGTGTATCTCTGTTATCTAGTGTATCTCTGTCATCTAGTGTATCTCTGTTATCTAGTGTATCTCTGTTATCTAGTGTATCTCAGTCATCTAGTGTATCTCTGTTATCTAGTGTATCTCTGTCATCTAGTGTATCTCTGTCATCTAGTGTCTCTCTGTCATCTAGTGTATCTCTGTCATCTAGTGTCTTTCAGTCATCTAGTGTATCTCTGTCATCTAGTGTATCTCAGTCATCTAGTGTATCTCAGTCATCTAGTGTATCTCTGTCATCTAGTGTATCTCAGTCATCTAGTGTATCTCAGTCATCTAGTGTATCTCAGTCATCTAGTGTATCTCTGTTATCTAGTGTATCTCTGTCATCTAGTGTATCTCTGTTATCTAGTGTATCTCTGTTATCTAGTGTATCTCTGTCATCTAGTGTATCTCTGTCATCTAGTGTATCTCAGTTATCTAGTGTATCTCTGTCATCTAGTGTATCTCAGTCATCTAGTGTATCTCTGTTATCTAGTGTATCTCTGTTATCTAGTGTGTGTCTGTTATCTAGTGTATCTCTGTCATCTAGTGTCTCTGTCATCTAGTGTATCTCTGTCATCTAGTGTATCTCAGTCATCTAGTGTATCTCTGTTATCTAGTGTATCTCTGTTATCTAGTGTATCTCAGTCATCTAGTGTATCTCTGTCATCTAGTGTATCTCTGTTATCTAGTGTATCTCTGTCATCTAGTGTATCTCTGTTATCTAGTGTATCTCTATCATATAGTGTGTCTCTGTCATCTAGTGTATCTCTGTCATCTAGTGTATCTCAGTTATCTAGTGTATCTCAGTCATCTAGTGTATCTCAGTCATCTAGTGTATCTCAGTCATCTAGTGTATCTCAGTCATCTAGTGTATCTCTGTTATCTAGTGTATCTCTGTTATCTAGTGTATCTCTGTCATCTAGTGTATCTCTGTCATCTAGTGTATCTCAGTCTCATCTAGTGTGTCTCTGTTATCTAGTGTATCTCTGTCATCTGGTGTATCCTCGGTCATCTAGTGTGTCTCTGTTATCTAGTGTATCTCTGTTATCTAGGTATCTCTGTCATCTAGTGTATCTCAGTGATCTAGTGTATCTCAGTCATCTAGTGTCTCTGTCATCTAGTGTATCTCTGTTATCTAGTGTATCTCAGTCATCTAGTGTGTCTCTGTCATCTAGTGTATCTCTGTCATCTAGTGTGTCTCAGTCATCTAGTGTGTCTCTGTCATCTAGTGTATCTCTGTCATCTAGTGTGTCTCTGTTATCTAGTGTATCTCTGTTATCTAGTGTATCTCTGTCATCTAGTGTATCTCTGTTATCTAGTGTATCTCTGTCATCTAGTGTATCTCTGTCATCTAGTGTATCTCTGTTATCTAGTGTATCTCAGTCATCTAGTGTGTCTCTGTCATCTAGTGTATCTCTGTCATCTAGTGTATCTCTGTCATCTAGTGTGTCTCTGTTATCTAGTGTATCTCAAGTCATCTAGTGTGTCTCTGTCATCTAGTGTATCTCTGTCATCTAGTGTGTCTCTGTTATCTAGTGTATCTCTGTTATCTAGTGTGTCTCTGTCGTCTAATTGTATCTCTGTTATCTAGTGTATCTCTGTTATCTAGTGTGTCTCTGTTGTTACATCTGAGTGTATCTCTGTCATCTAGTGTATCTCTGTTATCTAGTGTGTCTCTGTTATCTGTGTATCTCTGTCATCTAGTGTATCTCAGTCATCTAGTGTATCTCAGTCATCTAGTGTATCTCTGTTATCTAGTGTATCTCTGTTATCTAGTATCTCATCATCTAGTGTATCTCTGTTATCTAGTGTATCTCTGTTATCTAGTGTATCTCCGGTCATCTAGTGTATCTCTGTTATCTAGTGTATCTCTGCAATCATCTAGTGTATCTCTGTCATCTAGTGTCTCTCTGTCATCTAGTGTATCTCTGTCATCTAGTGTCTTTCGGTCATCTAGTGTATCTCTGTCATCTAGTGTATCTCAGTCATCTAGTGTATCTCGGTCATCTAGTGTATCTCTGTCATCTGAGCATCTC